TCACTAACGCTGTTGATATATAGTTATATACAACATGTACATTTTAAAAGAACTTTTTTTTATACTCTTATTTGTCAAGTTTTATGTGCAGCACTTTTCACTTCTTGACATTTAAATTAATTGTTTAATATTTTGAAATGTACTTTTTTTCATCATATTAATTACTTTTAAAAATTGTAACTTATAAGTGTTTTATGTTTAGTTTTTAAATAACTGAATTTAGTTTTAAATATTGAGTTGATTTAGTTCGAAAATCTTAGAGGGGCATTTGGCTATGAATTTGTTTTTTTACTTTTTGCTGGAGTTGAATTCCAAAAAACACGTTTGACAGATTGAATTTTGGAATTTGAAAAACACCAAAAAGGGTTTTCACCTTTTTTTACTCAATTACTCATAGACAACTTCAATTTGTATTCATGGCCAAACACAATTTCAATTTTCAAATATCAATTTTCATTTTGAAAATAAAAATTATTTATTTGTTCAAATACTCACAATTTTCATGTCCAGACGCCCCCCGTCAAATTGACCGTCAATAAGTGAAAAGTATTACATGAATTGAGACGGAAGGAATAAGCATTTATAAAACATTTTTATTCCCTAATTTGATTGTATGGAAATAAATTTATTTTCAAAATGGTGTCCTTATTGATTTAGCCTAATGGTGCATTCATTGAGATAAAGGTATATCACATTTTTAGCAAGCTCTTTATAAAATACTTTTCATGCTAAAAACAGTCATATCTCAAATTTACCATATCAAATTTTAGTTGGGAGACTACCTAATAATTTTTTATGACTGCTTGTAATTATTGAAAAGTAGCAAGGGATTAAGAACATTATGTTCAGGAGATATAATTATTAAGGGCCATGTTGACTAAAATCACAAAACTTATAAATTTATATGAAAAGCAATATTTCTCGATTTCTCTAATGTTGGGCTGGCCATTAAAGTTGGGTTAACACTTGGATCATAATTGGGCTAATACTTTAGAAGAGTTTGATTAGTGGGACATTTCCTGGCCCAATCAACACCCCTAAATATGGGGAAACTAAGTAAATATCCTATAAAAGCAAAATAATTACAAACATATACTCATTTACATTCATATCCCATTAAATAATTACACAATATACCCCCAACTAATTTCGCTTAAGTGATACTAAATAATTACACAATATATATATATATGGTATCATTAAAGTTTCTTGTTCAGAAATTACTCATCATTAGTCAATGATACTATGAGAGTTAGGAAAAATTTTATTATGGGTGAGGCGCACATAGTGTCAGTTGTGTGAGGCGTTTTTTGGCTGCCATTTGTATATTGTGGGGTCCATATTGTACTTGTTTCATTTCCTTACATTTTCTCTTTCCATTTTAATCTTTTCTTGTACTTCTTTCTTTCTTACTTGCATTTTCTTTGTTTGCTTGCCAACTCTCTTTGTAATTTTATTTTAATAGAAAAAAACTTTAGAACTCACCGACGGATATATATATATATATATATATATATATCAGATGAAATTAAATTATTATTTTTTAAATAAATTCGAAGAGATTGAAGATAGTGAAACTAAAATAAATAAATTAAACTCTCACAAAAAAGTAAAAATTCATATAATCAACCAATTGAGCTACTAAAATTCATTTGGTATTATTTATTACATTTAAATTCACAATTTAATTTTAATTATTTAAATTTTAGTCATTAATTTATTTTTTGAGATTTTCAATTTTAACAACCCAATTCTTAATTGCCTTGTAACTCTTCTTAATACACTCTATTTTAATTATCTAAAATAAATAATAATTCTGGAAAAATATTTTTAATAATATGAGACGGAGGGACCACAAGTTTGTATAGAACCTTTTCTCAATTAATAAATGCTAACATAATGTACATTCTCACTAGTCACTACGATAAATAATTTAACTAATGAAATAATTTATATTTTGTGTAAATGAAACGCAACATGATAAAATTAAACCAACAATCATTTAATGAGATTTTCGAGTTTTCAAAACAAACGATATCACTTTCTTTTTTTCCGCTCTTTTTTCATAGTCCTCCATTTCTTCACCCCATTGCTTTAGTAGCATTGAAGGGTTTATTTAATAGGTTATTAGAATTATGCATGTCTTCAATTTGGTATTTGACGTTAATAGTAAATTAGTTTGAAGACAATAAAAAATACACAAATCTTATCTTATCTTGTAATATAGAACTATTTTTAAAAGTAACGCGAGTTTAAAGAAAATAGAGTGTAAACAAATTTCAATATAAGAATAATATTTTTAATAGATATTCAATTCAACACGTTAAATAAATGTGGATATAAAATAGAAAATAAAAATATTGATCAACTAATAATATGACTTTTTATTCCCTTGCACTTTTCCACTTTCAATATAATATTTTAATTTATTTAATTGAAGTTGACATGGACCCCACAATTATCTTGCAATTCCCACTCAAACTTTACATTCTCTCTCCTTTTGATTTCATTTTTCAGCATTAACTAATAGTTTGGGCCCCACGATCCACATGTCAAAAAATGGGTGGAGCCTCTTCCAACTTTGGTTGGTTGGGCCTCACCCATAATAAAAATTTTCTGAGAGTTAGTATCACTGACTAATGAGTAATTTCTGAACAAGAAACCTTAATGATATCATAAAATATATAAACTCTTATAGTATCATTGACTAATGAGTAATTTCTGAATAAGAAATCTTAATAATACCACAACAATATATATATGTTTTTATAGTTCTTCCGTATTTTAAATAAGATTATTTTTGTTTGTATTTTGTTTTCATATTAGAGCGTGACTAAGTCATGTATGATTTTACCGTACGATGATATTGTAGTAATTACTTTTGTGCGCAATATGTACGTAGACAGTAAGTGAACATTTAGTTGAGCATGAAATTAAGGTTGTAGGGAATAGTCGAATGAGTAAAGAATACTTCTATCCATCAATATCAATAAAATGTAATTTAGGCCAAAACAACGACCAACTATGTATTTATTAAATAAATAAAAGGACGATTTGTACATAGAATAGAGTGGAGATAGACTACATATGTGTTGTCGAACTTGTAAAAAATGAGGACGTAGAAACATTATTTTCTTATGGCTGTTATTGAAGACTGTCAATATTTACTAAAAAATAAATTACGTACAAAATTATTATTTGGAAGAAAAAAATAACAGAAATTGTAAGATATTTAGTTGCACGATTTGCCCTTTAAAGGGACTTGTTTGTAATTTTTGTCCCTCAAATGAGTTGATCTTTAATTTTTGCCACTAGAATTTAGGTCTAGCGTGGCCAATTTTTTCAAGGTTATAGGCATAATTTGTGGGTTATCATGATGCAAAAACATTAACCTATTCTCAGCGAAAAAGTTATTTATACAGAGAAATTAAAATTGAAGACAGATACGAAATAGGGGCAAAATTGCAAATGACCATTTTACCCCTCGTAAGAGCATAGGTAACGAATATTGTCTTGACTAAGACTTCCGTGGGAAGCGGGAGTAAACGGCAAACGTAAGTTATGGTTTATAAGTTTTAAATGTGTGTGGAAAATGTAGCTCTTCAAGACTTGATCGATGACTTACTATTAATTTATTACTATAATTATAAAGAAATTTCTTCACGTTGAAAAGTCACACACAAAATGGCCTCTTCTAGAAGCAGTAATTCACACTCTTGTCCTCGAGCATGGATTTTGTTAGGATCATGTTGTTTAAATACGAGTTATGATGTGATTAATTATGATGATATAAGTTATATTGAGATTAATTATAATGTGATAAGTTATGTTGAGATTATTTTTTATTGAGTGTTTGATTGGTTGTATTTAAAATAATATGTCTTCCATAAATTTTAAGAATAAGTTGTTTGTTTACAAAAATACCCTCAGTTTATTTTTTTTCTTTGCAAGTTTTAGTTATTCAATCTTAAAAATGAAATTTTTATCTTATTTAGCTCAAATATTTTTGTGTGTGCATTCACATGTTGGTATCATATGTATTTAAAAAAAACAACTTTCTTTTTATTTAGCTTAAAAATAGAACTTCCATCGTAAGTTTATAATTAAAGTAAAAAAAGGATTTATGAGAAATAAATATATAAATAAAGGGATAAGGGTCTGAAAAATATCCCAATTTTGGTAGGATTTGTTGTTGCGATACTAAACTTTCATAAGGACCTATTACCTCCCTAGACTATTTAATACCATATTTTTTACCCCCTGAATTATTTAATAATGTATTTTAAAGGTATATATGTGCCCACGTGGACACATTACTATTTATAATTTTGCATTATTTTTTATGTCCACGTGGGCAAATATATATGTTTAAAATACGATATTAAATAGTCTAGGGAGGTAATAGGTCATCATGAAAGTTTAGTATCGCAACAGCAAATCCGACCAAAGTTGAGGTATTTTTCAGACCTTAATCCCATAAATAAACATAAGAATTAGTCAAATGAATTCATCAATAATAATTATATTTATATAGATATTTTTTTTGATAGAAAAATGTGAAGAATTATGTAAAAATAAGGAGTAGTGAAGCTTGTGAATGTTATTATATTTGATATTAAAAATAATGTAAATATAGATAAATGTGAAAAGTGAAATATAAAAAGAGTTTAAAGAAATATCTTTGTCATTTTACCTCCTTTATTTCGGGATAAGTTATCCCGAGATTACTATATCACCCAAGGGAAAGGATAACTTATCCTGATACTAATTATTAATTGTGGGATAAATTATTTTGAACTTGTCAACCAAACAACAAATTAAGTGACAATATAATTTAATCCCACGACTATTTGGTGTTATCCTTCACACCAAACGACTCCTTACGGTCACAAATTATTGACTACACTTGATTACAAAAGATAAATTTGTGTCCTATTTAACCATATCAACGTGTTGGACTCCACACTTTTCAATAAATTTTCCTATTTTATTATGCCGATGAATTAAGAGAAAAACTAAAATCAGATTTTTTGATCCTTGTGTAGGGTCATGATAACCTTTTCTGTATCATTCCAATTTTATCAAATATCCCCGAAGGGACAAGTAAAATTAGATTTGATTTACTCCATGTTAGGCAGTTCATGTCTTCACGACAATTTCGTATCTATTTCCCTACGATTTTTCTTCAGTGTATCGGCCATTTATGATGACACACGTCAATGACCGAAAAAAGAAGCAAAGTTGATAACTACATAGTCATATTTGTACAAAGTATCATTTAATATTGTTAGTGGAAAAGTCTTAATCTAATCACTATAAGTACCCACACACATAGCTAAACACTCTTCAACTCAAGTAAAAATGAAGTTCATTAATGTTTCAGCAGTTGCACTCTCTTGTCTCTTTTTGTTGTTCCTAACAGAAACTTTAGCACAAAATGCTGGTTCAATTGTAACGAGGGAATTATTCGAACAAATGTTGAGTTTTAGGAACAATGATGTATGTCCTGGCAAAGGATTCTACACTTATGATGCATTCATAGCTGCAGCTAACTCCTTTCCAGCTTTTGGTACTACTGGTGATGATACCGCCCGTAAGAAGGAAATGGCTGCCTTTTTCGGTCAAACATCTCACGAAACTAATGGTAATTTGGGTCATCCTTCTTATCGTTGTAATTTAATAATGTATATTTTAGGTGACAATTGAATTCTATAATTCGCTCTTTTGCAGGTGGTAGTGCAGGAACATTTACTGGAGGATATTGCTTTGTCAGGCAAATAGATCAGTCAGAAAGATACTATGGCAGAGGACCTATTCAATTGACACAGTAAGACAATTGAATAGAATATATATCAACAGACCGTGACTAATTTTTAAATCAATATATGATAACATTATTTTTGTGCAGCCAATCTAACTACGAACGAGCTGGACAGGGTATTGGTGTTGGACAAGACCTAGTTAATAACCCTGATTTAGTAGCCACAGATCCTATAATATCATTCAAAACAGCAATATGGTTCTGGATGACAGCACAGGATAATAAGCCATCATGTCACAGCGTTATCATTGGGCAATGGACGCCATCCCCTGCAGATACGGCAGCTAATAGAGTGCCAGGGTACGGTGTCATTACCAACATCATTAACGGTGGACTTGAATGTGGGATGGGTCAGAATCCTGCAGTGGAAAGTCGAATTGGATTTTACAGGAGGTATTGTGGTATGCTGAATGTTCCCACTGGTGAAAACTTGGACTGTAACAATCAAAGGAACTTCGCCCAGGGCTAAGCGTCGTTATATAGAATGCAAATTATGTTATGTACGTATTACTATTACTCATGGAGATTGTTCAGTCTATAAGTTATATTTGGATGTAATGAATAAAGGGATTCTGTATGCCCATTTAGAATAGGGGATATATTTGTCTTCTTAAAAATTAAAGGACCACATATCCTACATAATATGTGGTGCTTGACTGAGGCTCCTGCATTTAAGAAAAATAAAAGTTATATGATTTATGTTGTAGATTTTGATCTTTTGTTATTAATAAGTTGCATCATTTTGAACTGAGTAACTATTAAGTTCAAGATCCATAAAGAATGAGGTTCCGAGGGATGAGAAACAGTAGGAAGAGAGAATATTACCGATAGGAGTACATTGGAGATATTTATAGTTAACTAATTTAACTACCTAATTACATGGGCCACAGTTTACATTCAGCCTTACTTCATTCTATCCCACACATTCGTTTGATTATGTATTATTATGAATTTTTTTCTAAAATAAATTATTTTTAAAGTGAAATATTATTTTGAAAATTGAAGTTGTTTTTTTAGTTTTGATGAGTAATTTGGAGTGGAAAATGAAAACACTTATTTTATTTTCAAATTAAGTTGAATTTTAAAATTTGACAACTAGATATGTTTTCCCGAATTCAACTCTAGTCATGGTCAAGATTCCAACTTTGAATCTTATTCTTAACGTTGATCATTTCTATCACGTTATAAGAATTGTTCAGGGTCAAACAAAGTGATGTTAAATCAAGGAAAAAATTAGCAACTGCGACATATCCTGTTTAAAATAATTGGACCCCCATATCGGATAGGTAAAAACCAATATTTTCTAATACATATAAAAAAAAGAGAAAAAATTATTCAAGGACTTCAGTGATCAAGAAGCTATAAATTAAACTCTATAAAAGTTAAATAAGACAAAACAAAGTACGAAAATATGGAGGCCTACGAAGGAGAGGGGAAATGGTTAAGACTTGATCTTGGAGGAAAGATCAATTCATTTGACTAATTAATCAGGGGAAAAACTGGATCATTTTTTGTTTTTTTAGTATTCACATTGAGATCTGATTGAATTTGTATTCGCATATTGCAATGTTCAGAAAAGCTCCCAACATGAGTTTTTGACCTTTGATTAAAGATACATGAATTTTAATTATTTCACCACAATCCATGCAGGGCCGGCTCTGTGGTTTGGAAAATAAGGCCTTTGCCTTAGGCCCCCAAATTTTGGAGGCCCCAAATTTTTATCAAGAATAAATTATGTGCTAAAATTTTTATAGAAAAAATTGATTATTTATGATAAAAAGTGTAATTTTTGTTAAAATAAATTATTTTATCCACTTTAAACATTTTTTGTATTGTGTTAAAAATAAGAATTAATAGTAAAAAGTGTTGAACAAAGTGAATTACAAATTCTTTTTTATTTCTTTTTAAATTTTAGTTTCAAGCATTACTACAAGCATATTAAAATGAGGTATACCAAGTCATCAACTTTTTGAGTCAAATTCTGTAGTTCTAACTCTTATCTTTATTTAATATTTATCAACTTATCACTTATAGCATTATGTTAACAATACATATAATAATTGCTTCACTTAAATGATGTTTTTCAATGTTGAGTTGATAAAATCTTATCTAAAACTAGTAACTGAAAAAATAATATATACTATTAAATACTAATAATTTTCATCTAAATAGTATAAGAAAAATAAATTTTGAATAAATACGTATATAAAGTTTATTTATATTTTAGACCGCGCATTGAAATTTCGCTTTAGGCCCCCAATTACGTTGAGCCGCCCCTGAATCCATGTTGCTGAAAATTAAAATTGTGAATTCATGACTAAAAGTACTATTACTGTTAGATTAAAAGTACATAGACATTTCAAACATGCCAAACTTGTAATTTTACTTTTGAAAACTTTAAAAGGACTCGTAAAAGCCTAACTAAGATTATTAAAGTCTTGACTTCTAACGACATCTATAGCAAAACCACACATAAAATTAGTCGCGAAAAAATGACTCACCCAAGTTTGGTCGAGTTAATAACTTGTTCATTAATATCTCCGCCCATTTTGATCTGCATAATTTAGTCCGTCAAAAAATTGGAATAATATGTAGTTAAATTTGATCCAATTCGGAATCTTATCAAAATATTTTTTTGTTTGTTTAAGACGTAAATATATTTGTAATAAGAAAGAAAATTATTAGGTATTTAAATAAATTATAAAAAAATAAATAGTAAAAATTATAAAGAGTTTGTTTGATTAGTCTATGAGTCATTATTTAAACTATTTTCTCCTATTCATGCAACCCAAATTTTTTGACTCTGTTCCAAATTATGATTGACAAAATTCAGCTCTGTTCCAAATTAGGATTGACAAAATTCAGCTCGATTCGTTTATTTGAAACCACTATAGGTAATGGTTTTCACTAGAATGTGCGCGGAAAATATAGCTCCCAAGACTTGACTTTTACCGAAGAGGGAAAAAAAAACTTGACGTATACTAGAAATTACTTCAATAGGAAAAGTCTTGTACCGACTTCATTACGTAGCCAACTTTGATATTCCAGAACTCGACAATTTGTAACAAATAGGGATTCAGTTAGACTTTGGTTTACAAGATAAACTCACTTTAATTTCACCACAATAAAAAGAGAAGAAAACTATGAGTGAGATTTGAATTCAGTTAATATGAATTTACTATATAAATTCTCATAGTTTGAATAACCTTTTAAGATATTAACTCATATTTTTTCGTATCGATATCTTCTAGGTTACGATAGGTGAAGAGAAAATTGTGTATCTATGTTTGTTTCGGCCATTTATGATGACACACGTACATGACCGAAACAAAGAAGCAAACTACTACAATTTTGTTGAAATCAGTGGAAAAGTGTATGCTCACCTTAAATTTGATCTCTATAAATACCCACCTATTTACATAACTAATTCAGTAAACACTAGCTCATAAAGCATAAGAAAGAACAGAGAGAAACAAAAAATGGAGTTTTTGGGATCACAAATGGTATTATGTTGCGTCTTTTTGTTGTTCCTAACAGGAAGCTTGGCACAAGATGTTGGTACAATTGTGACTTGTTCAACGAGATGCTCAAGAATCGAAACGATGATAGATGCCCTGCCAAGGGCTTCTACACTTATGATGCATTCATAGCTGCAGCCAATTCGTTTCCAGGTTTTGGTACTACTGGTGATGAAACTGCACGTAAGAAAGAAATTGCTGCTTTTTTTGGTCAAACTTCTCACGAAACTACTGGTAATTTTGGCTCTTCCACCTAACTACTGTTATTTGTTCAACATATAAGTACACAAAATTAGATTGACCGTTAATTGTAATCAGAGATGTATCTAGGATTTTGAGGTTCTAAGTGCCATACCCTTTGAACAGTAGCGTGGTTCCAATATTAACATAATTGTACATAGATCTGCCCCTGATTGTAACACAAGTGTCTAGTTAAGAAATGGATTTACGTTATATACACTAGAATATTAAGTGAAGTATTTGGGTCTAATTTTGCAGGTGGTAGCCTAAGTGCAGATGGTCCATTTGCCGGATGATATTGCTTTCTTAGGGAAGGCAACCAAGTGGGAAGTGGATTTTATGGCAGAGAACCTATCCAATTGACAGGGTACGTAAAACAGAGGAAAATACTTCATGTCATAACTACGAAATCTTAGATGAAAAAAACACAATATGTAACTAATTTATTGATGATAAAATGAATTTTGCAGGCAATCCTTAGCTGGGCAAGCAATTGGACAAGACTTAGTTAACAACCCTGAC